TTTTGCGCCTCTATAATATTTTAAACCCCATCTATCGGACAGAATCAGCACCAAGCGCTCTAACTTTTATCAAAGTAGGTTTGTGAATTCATTTTTGTATTCTGTTAATGTTTCATAGATGGCACTAGTCTCTTTCAGATACATTTTCGGACGCCTGAATACAGTATATGACTGTCTATCTTTAGGTCGTCTCCTTGGTAAATTGTGTGCGTAGATTCCGAATCCGATGTCAATTTAATGTTGTGACCCACGGGAGGCACCCAGCGTCTACTAATGAACTAATAAAGTAAAAGGAAAACAAAAAGATGATGAAAATGATGGCGGACATGATCACCATCGTAAGGCGATAAATAACTGAAATGTTGGGTTTCTAAATTTCCCAAGTTGTTGAAAGTGCAGATTGCTAGAAAACGGAATAGGAGCCGGGATTTATGGAATAAGGCCAAAAATCGAGAATTAGCTTAGCTAATATAGCAACAATATTTCAAGCAGCAGTAATAGCCATACAAAGCTGGGCAACAATTGCAGAGCGACAGATCTTCTTCATGAAGTGATAAATGCTCTTTATGAATGCTGTAATAAGCAATGGAGCGACTTTCTGTCGGGAATGCTTGACTCGAGTATTCCTCTCTGGAAAGTTGCAAAGTCGCTGAGAAACGGAAAGCGAGAACAACTCCCGCACGTCCAAGGTCCTGGGGGCATAGCGTTTAGGCCAGAGGAAAAAGTCGAGGTTTTCGCTGATGCACTGAAAACTCAGTTCTCTCCCAACTATGACCTTGATAATGAGCTCGACGAGGAGCAACACATTGTAAGATCCGTCAGTAAATATTTTAGGGCTCACGGCGTCAGTGGCAGTAGCCACTCCATTAGTGATTTTTCCTCCGAGGAGTCTTCAGAAAATTCCTCAACTGAAGGCATTTGACAAGGTGTGGCACAAGGTCCTCCTCTACAAATTGATTCATCTGACGAGGTATTAGAATGGGCAAATCGATGGCTGATCAAAATTAATGATTCGAAAAGCCGGCTATGTGTTGTACTAAAAAACGTAGCGGTTCCCCGTCTGAGGTTTCAATATAGTTCGGGTACCATGGGAAAGTTGTGCTAAGTATCTCAGTATCACTCTTGACAAGGGGATGACCTGGCAGAAGTACACTGAAGCATTAAAAACTAAATTTCAAATCACTTTTCGCCAACTCTATCTTGCTATGTAGAACCTCAAGTTTGATCAACAAAGTTCGGCTATGTAAGATGGTTATCAGACCAGCGATCACTTACGCAAATGTGGCTTGGTGTTTTCTCATTAAAACGCATTTGCAGAACAGGACCTTGCGTACAATCACCAGCGTTCCATAGTATGTCTCCAATGAGACCCTTCACAGAGACCTTGACATCCCTTACCTAAGGGACTACATCAAAAAACAAGCTCTGCTACGTTATAGTCGAGCGAAATCGCATAGCAACCCTTTGTTGCGAGTCAGTAGACTACACAGTACAACCAAAATTGTAATTCTTCTTCAACAACCAATCTCTAAATTAATTTTCGGATCAATTTAAAATTGCTAGTTATCAATGCTAAGGCAATCCCTCAAATTGACGCACTTCTTCCTTCTCTGCTCAGTCCTTCCTTCATTTCTTTCTTCTTCCATTCTTTCTTCCTGATTTTGTCTGGTATCTGGGAAACCAGACTCACAAGACTTTAACCAAGAGCAAAGGTCCTACACACCGCTCTGGCAGACAATGACGAATATAATCTGGATTAAAGAATTAGAAGAAACTGCATATCAGTCGACCGCTATCTGCTCAGACAGCTAGGCGTCCAGCAGGGCGTTGAGTTCGGCACAAATATCGTCTAAACTAGGAAATTGAGTTAACACACTCAAATTGCTGGGGTACCGAAACCAGGTAAGATTTCTCTGGGGATCACAATACAAAGGGCGTGAATCGCCTCTCTGTGCGTTACGCGATTCAAGCATCAAGCAGTTCCATAAAAAGAATGGTGGAACAACCAGTTAGATAGGCAAGATTTCATCAAAAAAACGAAAGCCTGCATTTGAAGACGACCAGCTCGGATATAACAGGAAAGCCATAAGGGCCATAATGGTCATGGGTCTTGAAGAAGAGGCTACATATCGATTTTATGTCACTGCTAAGGCATGGTATGGCTAAGGTTTCACAAGAATCACGAATCCAACAGAGGAAAGCTGCATGCTTTCAAGATTATGGAGTCTAGTTAAAGAATCAAGGCTTGTCACATTGCTTTAGATATGAGGTTACAATTGCATGCTGGCAAAGCCCGTTTCGGTAATCTAATGTAATACCTAGTCACACACCCTTTAGTAGTATAGGTAGAAGAAGTAAAAGACAAATGAGAAGAGGAAGATGATCTTAATAATGACGAAGACGAAGATACCGTACTGATAAGGAGGAAAGTCATTTACCAAAGAAAATTTAAGCTGTGGATGTTGCTGGTCCTTCCTTTCTTCAATTGTTTGTGATTTTTTTCCTGCGCCACTGTTCCCCACTGGCATTACGTAAGCCATCAGCAGCAAGCATCAGTGCACGTCCGCGATCGAGCAAGCGCTGCTTTGCTTATATCAACTCTCTACAAGGTTAAAGTAGGCATCAGCGTGCGTGCGAATGCGAATGCTCTGCGAATCCATCCAGTGGTTTTGTTGTTCAGTTCGGTGCCACATCACATTGCGTATAGAGATATTTGCCAATACCAATACCTTTTGATACAACACACATGTACATGTATCAATTGTTCTGTCTTCTTGTCTACTTCTTGTAATGTCCTTCCTAAAATCATCTGCTTATCTCCAATCCAGTCACGAGTATTTCTGAACCAGGATATTTCCGTACGTCCTGAGCTCTATTTACACCCATTCACCCATTCCACGTTTCATAATCAACAGTAGCAATACTTCGTCGTTTGGAAATGTGTGTCGCAAATACGTTGTTTTGCACATCTTATTGTAGTTCAAATGTCTCCTTTAAACTTTAAACGTTCAAAGGTATTGTCACGAATCACCACTTCTTGTCACAGTTCAAATAAAATAAATATTTTAACGTTTTATTCACTCAAAGACTCACAAAACTTACTTTACCTTAGCTAGCGGATGTCAGTAATATACAAGGAATTGTACGTTGCTTTGAGTAACATCTGACGATTGCTGCGAACACTAATGGCATCTGATTGGGTGTCAGTAATATACAAGGGCTTTTACCCTGCTTTGAGTGACATCTCATGATTGCGCGAACACTAATGGAATTTGACTAATCTGTAGCTAATAATCTGTGACCTTAACATACTAGTTATATACCCTAGTAACATGTGAAGGTCTATTTTTATGAAAATCAAGAGCTTCGCGAAACATATTGAAAGATCTAGAAATAAACAAAACTCACAGCTTTCTGACAACTAACTAAAACATACCTAACTAACAGTTTGACAACATATGACAGTGACCTAACGCACTATACAAGATGTTTCACTATTAAGGGTAGCTTCTAAAAGTTTCTGCATATCTGCAATATTGACTAGAACCCGATTGTCGGGTGAATTCTGTTTCCCTACTCACAGTATGATTTGCAATTCCTAAGGATTTTTATTTCTATTGAGTCGGCTAGCACGTGGTAGAAGATGTAGAGGTTACTAGAAATGAAATTTCTAAACAATTTTCAATATTTAATAAATCTTCAATTCTTCTAAATCCGTTACTGGTTTTTTGAAAAAAGAGCTATAGTTTCTTCAATAATGAATAATTATAAATTTCGTCTTAATTGAACCTCATCGATCCAGTCGAAATTTGGGGAGATATGTAATTTCTCCAATTTTTCGCAGTTCAGCAAATATGAGTAAATGACACTCAAATTTCGACTTTTCACAACCATAAATATAATCTGTGTTTTGGCCGATTCCACCAACAAATTTCATTCCACTCAAAATCTAATAATTCTCTTCTCACGATTTATTAATAATTATTAATTTAAAATTCCCATCAATTAAAATATAGTTTATTCAACTGCCTCTGGTCGGTTTAATAATTTCTTACATAACATTCTGAAAATCACATCATCTGAAGTGGTTTGGCAACGTTTTGGCACACGCCCACAATTCGTTCCATCTTTCAACACAGACATTGACAACCTTCGGCCTTCTGTCAAAGGTTCATCTCACTCATTATTCCATGACCACCATTTTGTGCAATCATCAAGTGGCTTCACGACGTAATGCTCTAATGTTTTCTAAATAATTTTTAATCTGTCTTTAACTTGTCTTGTCATATTTTATATAATTTTAACCATTGTACCATGTATCCAGCTCTCACCATGTTACTGGACGTTTCCCTCATACTATACGAAAACAACAATTAGCAACATCCTCACATACTACTGTAAGTTGATTCAATTTAAATTCATTTTACAGTTTTGTTGCTACTGTTATCATTGTAATTGCAGCTCCTGATGATGATGGCAAAGTCCATTGAAAGCTAGAGAGAATTAAAAAAAGTATAAAGAGTCCTCTTTGCTTAAATTTTGTCGAAGTACCCAACAAAAGGCGGAAGCTTTAATTTTTCACCTATATATATATATATATATATATATATATATTTCGTTTGAAACACCATTTGGCTGCAACCTCAGCGACGACTCCTGATGATGGCACCATAGCGTACCGAAAGCTCGAGATTACCGTTAAAAGAGTTTACTAAAGCCTAAAATTTTGCCAATTTCGCAATTAATAATTAATTGTATTTCTTGTCCAACTCTTGGCAATGGCAGTGACTACTGGTCGCATATATATTTATATATATATACAAACAGATGGCGCTCTGTGAGTGAACATACGTTTGCAATCTGCAGCTAGGTTTTTCAAAAATTTACAGTAAATATTGAGTGGTGTTTTTCCGCAGTGATTTTTTGAGCTCATTCACGAATCGGTAAAATTTGTTCCATTTTCCACCGGTATTTTGTCCTACACAGTGCTGTTTTGTTAGGTTAGAAACCGCGCAGAAAATAAACATGGGTCTGTCAGATAACGACGTTGAGAAAATTAAAGGTATATTCACTGATCGGTTTCTACAGACTTTTGCCGAAAGAGTTGCCCAGCTCCGCGAAAGGAAGTATGAGACAAGGATGCGAGAGCAGGAACAGGCCATCGTTGAACTCAAAGAAGAGATCAGGGACCTTAGGGACACGCAGGACAGAATTCTACGGACGGTTGATGATCAGGAACAGGCATCCCGAAACTTTAATGTAAGAGTGTTTTGCCTACCCATGGACAACGGTGAGAATTTACATAAAAAGGTACAGGACATTTTTAAACGTATGAAAGTAAACATCGATGAATCGCGTATTGTAAAATGCCATAGGGTACAACCAGAAACTAACAATAATAAGCCGTCTGCAGTTTTAATTCGTTTTTCCCGCGATGAGGATCGGTCGTCAATCTTTAAAAATCGAAAAAAATTGTGTTCTACGGGTGTGTTAATAAAAGAAGATTTAAAGAAAAAGCATCTGGACCTCCTTGTGGCCGCTGTAAACAAATATACTTATAAAAATGCCTGGTGTCGTAATGGTCTTGTGTTTGTGAAACTTGGTGACGTTATGCATTGCATTAATAACTCGGGAGACTTGCAAAAACTCGAGACGTAAAAGGTGTATTCCTGATCCCTTTTGCAAGCGTGGTAGGGGTGTGTGAGCGTATAATGGAAAATACTACGCATTTATTTTGCCATTCGTCTAGTTTATTTGATTGAAAGTTGATTCATCTCATAACACATGTATATATTAAATAAACCACATTACTATGGATAGCATGTACATCTTATAGTGATTTTGTTTAGAGGTATGGACATCATAGTTATGCTATCACACCTATTAAAATACCTAAATTGTACTATTTACTACTTGAATTACACAACTACATTTTTTCCTGTTGTAGGATTTATTTTTGCAAATTTTATTTCTATACCTTTTATCATAATACACTTAATTAAGCGTGTATGGGTGGATGTGTTCTGTGTTGTCTTTCAATTCGACGAGACTAGTGTAAAGCACAGAACGACAGTCCTTAATTGATATAGCTAATATTTTAATTTGCGTCAATTTTGTTTTGGTTTTTTAAAGTTTTATTCTATAAGGTTAATAGTAGAGTTTTTTCAAGGGCATGGCATACGAATTACTGTATGGGGTACTTAAAAAAGAAGCTTGTTTTGCACGGCTGCAGGTACAAACATTATTTATTTAGTTTTTTGTGTACTAAGTATTTCAGATATTTGTCTACCTATATTAATTTCTATACTACTTCCTCTCTTTTCTTATCCTTTTCTTTTTCTTTCTTTCTACCACTCCTTCTATGCGCTGTGACATATTAATGTCAGATCTCTCATAAATAATATCGACAGTTTTAAAGAGGATGTTTTTGACAGTAATTATAATATAGTTAGCATTACTGAGAGCTGGTTAACTTCTAATATTGACAGTGATATTACTTCCTTAAATGGTTACAAATTGGTCAGGCAAGGCCGCGTGACCCGCGGCGGTGGTGTTGGAATATATCTAAAATCTAACCTAAAATTTAATATATACGTATTGAAGAGTGAGTGCAAAGACATAATTGAGCATATTTGGGTTAAAATTCAGCTGGAAAAAGAAATACTCATAGTTGGCATTATTTACAGACCACCTAGCTCTAACTGTAGGGAACTTCTAAATTATTTAGAAGACATTTTGATTGACCTCAGTACTGAGTGTAACCAAATTGTATATGTTTGGGCGAGGTATCATTTTTAACAGACACTATATTGGATATTTTTGAAAAGGCTTCGAAATCAAGCACTTTCTCGTTTTAGACGAACGCACCAACGTGGTCATCGAGAATATTATAAACAATTTTAGAAACCTGACCACTTCTGCTATTAGAGCCGAATAAAAGGCATATCTAAATTTAAAGTTTCAGAATTGCTCAGAAAAGGAAAAATGGGCTGAACTAAAAAACCTAAATATACTTTAAAATAAAAATAAATGCATCCCTGACCATTTAAGGAATGTTAATGAACTTATTACCTACTTTGCCCAAATATCACAAAATAATACTCCAAAACAAAAATTGTTGCATTTCTATAACAACAGCTCCTTGCTTAGCGAAACCTTCTCATTTAACCTAATCGACGAAGATTTTGTTTTAAATAGTATCCTCAGTATCAAGTCGAAGGCTTTTGGCGCTGATAGCCTGAACGTTACCCTGATTTCCTTGTGTTGCCCTTTTATAGCTCCTTATATTATCCATATTATAAATAGTTGTATTAAAAGCTGGAAGCTGGCCAATGTTCTTCCATTAGCTAAGGTTAACACTCCGACAGAATTTGGTCAACTACATTCAATCTCACTTTTACCGACCCTTTCTAAACTTTTGGAAAAGGCAATCGCTACACAAGTCGCTAACTAACGTTTTTGCCAACAATATCATCCCCCCTAGACAGTCAGGGTTTAGAACCGGGTACAGTTGTTCCACAGCATTAACAGAACTTGTGGATGATGTCATCAGAGAACAGGATGCGAGACATGCTACTGTCTTGATGTTATTGGACTACACGAAAGCATTTGACATTATTAATCATGAGATACTAGTGGCTATTTTGAAATATATTGGATTAGAGCAGCCGGTCTATACATTAATAATTTCCTTTATCTGAAAGGATACAGCGCGTGAATTTGGACGGGAACATATCAGATGCAGTTACAATTACATCAGGGGTGCCCCAGGGTAGTATTTTGGGTCCATTATTGTATAGCCTACATACTTTTAATTTCATGACGTCGCTGAGTTATTGTCAATATCATCTTTATGCTGACGACACTCTAATTTATGCCTCTTTTAAACCTGATTTGTCAGAACTTATAACAAACCGACTGAATACCGACTTGAATAGCCTTCTCAAAACCTCTGAAGATCACTTGTTAAAGATAAACCCTAATAAATCGACGGCTATATTGTTTTGTAGTGATTCCTGCAGAAACGTATTAGAAAATAATATTAAGCTTAAGCTAGGGGACAATATTCCGTGAAGGATTTGGACTTAGTGGTTGACTCTAAACTTAAGTTTAGAGAACACATTACTCTGTGCCTAAGAAAAGCATATTCAATGTTAAAAATAATTTACCCCCATAGACATTACCTATCACAAAATACTAAAGCCACGCTCTGCGAAGCTTTAGTGTTGTCCCACTTCAACTTTTCTGATATGGTATATGGCCCATTTCTTGATAGTGTGGAACTAAAACGGGTTCAAAAAGCTCAGAATTCTTGTCTGAGACTGATATTTGGCATTAGGGGTAGACAAAGAGTATCCCACAAACTACCTGAACTGGGATGGTTGAATATGGCTCAGATGCGTACCTTGCACTCTACTTCCTTTTTTTACAAGATTATAAAATTAGCTACCGGACTGATGTACATAATCTAAACATTAGAAGATTGAATTTGATTACAATACCATCACACAATAAAGAATCATTTAAGAAATCATTCTCATATCAAATTGCCTTTTTGGTAAATAAATTCAAAGTTAAAGATTTTTCTCTCTCGGTAGCTTCATTTAAGAGGAACCTTAAAAGTGATTTACTGTCTCAGATATCATAGAAAACATATCTCCTGCTCCCCCTTTTCACTTCTTCTCTTTCCCCTCGCTTTCTCTTCTCACTCTAAATTTCCATTTCTCTACTTACTATACTTCGCTATATTTCTTAAGATTAAAACATTATTAATTATCAATGTCTTAATAGCCATTTGTCTTACTATAAAATTGTTTAAATTTGTTTGTTTTTTTTTTTGCTCTAGCAGCTGCTTCTTTAAGGGGCAAGCTGATGTAGCCCTTTATCATCTTAAGGCTTTTTTTGTTTGTAAACTTTGTATATACTTTTTAATGAGGGTAATAAATATTATGATTATATATATAGTCGTTATACAAGTACGTATCAAGAGGTATTATAATCCGTTATCAGACATTGTTGACGACACCAGAGCTCAAAAAAATGCGGCTACCGTGTAGGGACAAACAAGCTCAATACTGCAATTTGAGGAATTTTTGTTCCATGAAAAGCTCAAATTGTGTATTATTGGCTCTGATGTGTTGTTGTACTACCTGGAAAATTGTACTAAAAGCTGTTTGGAAGGCGTGGGGAGAATAGAGTCAATCTACTTGACACAATTTTTTGTCCATATTTGAAATCAGTACTCCAATTTACCCCAGCTCACTGAACTTCGTTCGCTTGGAACTTGGAACTAAAACTGAAAGTTCCGCTCAAGAACTCTAACAGTTAGTAGTAATTGAAGACTCATTTTACATATTATAATTGTGCATTGGTTTACTCCAACTTTTGTTTTTATTGTGAAGGCACAGGAGCAACACTTCCATTTTCATATATGGGCTGTATCCTCATGTGTTTTATTAATAATTAAGTTAAATATTCGAAAATGTGTGAATTCTGGAAAAAATGTCTAAATTTCGTACTTTAGGCTGAAATACATATGTACGTTCTAAAATATTGGAATACAAGAGTTTCATAGATCCGCTCAATTTGAAATTTGAATTTTTTTTCACGGCCGAAAAACGCAGTCGGGTCTGTGGTCCTTTTTAAGAGTTCTTCATATCATGTAAAATAAATCTAAAAAAAAAGTACGGTTTCCTTTTTAAATTATTACATCTTTTATTCCATCTAAAACTGTCAAGAGCCAGTCTAAATATTGTCGATTTATTATTCCATCATGCACGAGAACTTATCATTTATCACTATGTCCTATAAAGTTCATCACATATTAGCAACGTGTTAGTGATTCTCTATGAACATCACATATGTGACAAATCAGATTTACTTGAAATGAATGTTTATTGATTAAATAATCCTTGAAATTGATAATAAACTCCAATAGTAATTAATGAATACGCACTTTCATTAGTTCATTTATATGCCGAGGGATAATTAATATTCTCAAAAATTCTAACTGACACGTGTATAACATGTTTTACAAACATTCTGTGAAGCTACGTGATTGCAATGTATGATTCTATTTTAACTTGTTTTGCAATTAGCACTACCTAGGTATTGTCCACATGTATTGTATACAGGGTGTTTCACAACTTATCCGAAAAATTTTAACTACATATGCACTGTTACGAAAGAAGTTGATTTCTCAAAAAAATTCAATAAAAGTCCTACAGAAATTAAGTTATAAACCTGAGTTTCAATAATAA